CCAGCGTAGGGTTCTCCTTTAGCAGCTGTAGCCAGTCAGCAGCCTATCCATGTTGTCCACCCTCACACACACATACACACGCACACATATGCAAACACATACAAACACAGACACACACACACAGAAGGCCATGTAGGAGGAGAACAGAGTGAAGGACACAGCACCTCCACACTTTTACTCCCCGCGGGTGCAGCCCAACACCACATGTGTAATATAAATGTTTGGGGGTGAACAGTGTGTGTTATTTTATATGTTCTTCACAGAAAATGAGCAAAGGCCAAGAAATCTCGGGTGGAAATAATAATAAATCGCATCATTTTTTCTTTTTGTAAACATTGAAAATGGGTCTCACAGACCCAACACCACACAAGGGTTAAGATAAGATTCTGTAAAATTAGATAAAAGTCCTAAATTAGCATAAGATTTGCCTCCATAATATGAATTTGTGAAAAATCTTATCCTGACCTGTCAGATCTCAATGTAGGACAAAAGATAGAAGTTTCTGTAATACAGCAAATTCATCATTTTGGCCACATTGTTCACTGGCTTGGTGGCCCGAGTGGCTCTAGATAGTGCTTTGATTTGAACTCATACTAATGACTTCCACATGATGACATTGACAAATGTGAATTTAGTCTGTGATTTTTGTGTTTAAGTGTGATGGGTCAGCTGTGTCGTTTGCATAATGTATTGGTTTGTGACTCTGTGTGTGAAAGCATGCTCATGTGCTCGTGCACTCCTTCCTCCGCTCTATACCTGGTGAAGCCAAGTGTGATTCTGCAGCTGCTAGGCAACCGGCGGGCGCCTTCCGATCTGTTGCAGCGTAACAGTGATAATGAGTGTGATCCTGAAGTTTCTACACCAAAACAATTACTGCTGAGACAGAGAGAAAGAACACAGAGAAAGAAAGTGAAGGTAAGGGAGGTCATGGGTTGGTTTCGTTGATGGTCCCTTATGTACGAAGCAGAAACATCCACAGCTTCACAATTAGCCATCAATTAGCTCTACCATGTCTAAAGCTTATTTATTTAACTTATTTAGAAATAAATAGTACATATAGATAGTACACACGTTTTATTCCAAACTACAGGTGCCTTATTCAAACTGATTCATGATATTTGTGATAAGACTATTTTGGATAACTATAAATTTGAATAACCAAGCACAGCCCTACTGTCAATAATTTGAATGAGTTAGAGCAGAGAAAACATAAAACAGCACAGTGTAAAAACCTCTAGGACCAAATCTGAGAGTGACTGGACTCAAATCTGTGTGTCCTCTCTGGAACAGCACCTTAGGCTAGAAACATACCTCACACAAGTATGAGTATATGAATGCAAACACTTTAAGCTAAGGATGCACATCGGTGTTGGAATCACAACAGAATTGGCACATATTTGCTTGAAGTTTAGATTTGACCAATATTTCAAATGTATGTTTGATGACATATTTATTGTGCTTGCTAAAATATCTGCATTTTATTAATTTTAGTGCATTTGTAACCCTAGAGAAATAAATACTATATCTTTCTGTAATGCTTATCCAAATAGATGCAGTCTTTTTTGCGTTTTATAAATGTTTATGGATCAGCATTGGTACCAACATCATCAGATATATACATTAAAATATTGGTGCATCCAAACTTTGAGCTGCGCAAACTCAGTTTCTTATGTCATTGCAAGGAGTGGGCATGAGTAGTTAACTTATCAAATACTGGTTACATGACTGTGTCGCTGACGAGTGAAATACTGCTCAAAATTTGCATTGATTGTGTTGATTAATTGCGCTGCCTCGACCTAACTGATGAAAACGCAACCAATTCACATCCTGGTTGTTGCGACAACTGTGACCACTGTGGAAAACAAGCTAATTGTAATTATCAGCTTTTATATTAGCAGTTTGCTCAGATAATTGCTGTCCGGTAATTATGTAATAACCATGACAGTCCTAGTTAATGCAAGGTGTAAAGAGCTTCAATGACTGAGTTCATAGAGTACTTTTTGTTGTGCATTGTTGCACTCCCCCGTCACACGATACTACCAGCGCCAGGAGTCATACGAAACTTGGCTTAGAGGCTTACAAACACTGTTGCAGATTAACAGAAAAAAGGAGGAAACCAAATAAGTGAAACAATAACAGAATAAGATCAATGACTAAAAACTAAGAACAAAAGACCAAAGGACAAACAAGGCTAGACTAGCAAATGAAACAGCTACAGAGCAACTAAAACAAAAGACAAACAGAAGGCTCAGCACAAAATACATTAGCAGATGCTAATACCAACGCTAACGCCAACGTATAGGGAAATGTCAGAGGACAGTGTTTATGCTAATGTTAATGCTAATTGATATATGGAAACAGAAACAAAACGTTTGTCTAACAAACAGTGAAAGAAGTACAAAACTAAGTAGGACAAAAGAGACTAGCAGTAACACAAACACTTGGGCAGGTGCAAGGCTTCACACTGAAACGTGCGAGAGTGGATTGGGTCCAGTAACGAGAGGGATAACAAGCCACAGGTGTCCATACTCAGGAGAGGCGGGTTACACATATACCGCTGAATACGCTGTCAGGGAAGGACCTGTGGCACTCGGAGAGTGAAGGCCAGCTTGTGATTACTTGTGAGGCCTTTTAAACTGCTGCTAACGCAAGGTCATTGGAGCTCAATGCTTGGAGGTGAACTCTAACTTCTAAATCAGGTAACAGATGCCCGTGTTGGGTGGCATCATGCTGAGAAATGGGGGGAAGAGGGCGGACCATCTTACCCACCCAGAGAGAATGAGGCCAGTTGTGCTCTTTTGAGCTCCTAGACACGGATGCCTGTGGCATCACCGGAAGGTCGAACCCACCTGGGAGCCCTCAAGACATTTTTTAAAACAAATCACTGATTCAGATCTTTAGAATCAAGAATTGTATTGTTCCTTAAGGTGTCATTACACCCTTGTACACTGTTTTTCTTTGCCTGAGCAACATGTAAAGCAGCACACAGCACAGATGTGCTAATTTGCACTGTCACCTCCTTCAGGACTGAGGTTTGTAGCCACCAGTGTAGCGTAAGAATGCATGTCGTGTAAGAACAGGGCCTTGTGCTGCAATACACTGGCCGGGTGTCGTTCTTTTCGTTTGTGTGCTTGTGTAGGGTATGTTGTTGTGGGGAGTGGCCAGAGGGGCGGACGGTTGGACACTTGAGTGGGTTTTTGCTCGTGCTGCTGCAGCAGCGGGCCTGCTGGGGTGTCACAGCAAAAATAACTCCCACAGCCAGCGAAGCTGTGCAGAGACACCACAGGCCTCCCGCTAGAAGATAATTACACAGAAGATGACACAGGTGGGGGGGGGAGGGGGAGAGAGAGCAAGAGAGGGAGAAAAGAGAGAGAAAGTGAACGGAGAAAATCACACTCATTTGCCATTGGTCCTCAATCCAGCTTACACTTGAAAACTTGTCAGCCTGTGCCATTTTCAGCTAGCTTGGTGAAAAAGCTAATTTACAAAAGTGGACAGAAGTACATCGCTAAAAATAGTAGAGCAAGAACTTGAATTCTGAGTCATCTTGAAGGCTCCAACATGGCTACGACTTCTGTTTCTTGTCTATTTTTATAGATGACAGTTTAAATACAGTGTCAAACCACATAAGCAAGTCTGTTTGAGTTTACTGAACATGTTGACTCAGTTCGAAGCAAGTATGGGACGATTTAGGCGTGTAGTTTATCATGATGCTAGCCAATGACTATGGGCTTAAAAAACATGTTAGCTACATTAGCCTTGAAGCTCCAGTGCGAAACTAAAGAAATTACCTTCAGCACTAAACGTGTCTTGGCTGATGGACTGTATTCAGGTAAAGCATCTAAAGCGTCTTCCTCTGAGGGGCTAATAGTCCCCTGGATGTCCCGTCAGAGCACTTGTCGTCAGGGCTGTTATGCTTCTCCAGGCGTCTGGTCTTATTTGTTCTGATTAAGACATGCTCTGTTTGTGCATTGGTGACCTTTTCTTCACTTTCTACCTTTGGTTTATTATTTTCTCCCACTTTAAACTTTTTCTTCTTTTGCCACTTTTGCCCATATTTAATGTGGTCAGTCTGTGCCTTTGTCACTGTCTTTCTCTTCTCTAGTCATCTTTTTAGCACTCAGGTCATACCACTTCATTTGCATCCAAACTCACTGTGCTTTACTGGAAGCAGCAGATGGGAAGAAATTATATCCAACAAAAGTTATTGATGGAAAGTGGCCCAAAAATACACTTTTGGTATTTGGCCAAAAGCATAAATTGCAGAAAACTCCAAATGTTGTTAAACTATTTCCATTTCTCAAAGATTAAACAAAGTGGCAGCATATATTTTTTGAAGGGAAATAACACATATTTTTAAAAATTCTGCTTTAAACACAGTTATTCAAATTGGTCTGTTGTGAAATGCTTTGTTTTAGAGAATCTTACTGAGTCAGAATTGTTCACAGTGGTGGTGATAGGAACCAGACGTCTGAAGAGTTTAATACCTCTGAAACTATTTTACCATCATCATCAACACATATAAAAACATGTGTAGGTTCACTGGTGGTTTTGGATAGTAAATAAAATGGTTACATTTGTGTTGTGGACATTGTGACCCCTGGTTCCCATCACCACCACTCTAAAGAAATAAGTAAGCTTCTCAGGAGTCAGTAAGTTACAGTTAACCGCTCTGAAAGACTTTGCTTACGTCTTAATGGCTGAGTTATGCAGAAATTTTAAAAAATTGTTGGAATCCCTTTTAATGTAATGCAAATCATGTTAATGGCAGTAAAATTTCTCTTCTGCTCTGGCCAACTGTGTTCAAACAGTAAAACAGAATTAATGTAATATATGCAATGATACATGAAAAGGGAAATTAAATAATAATCTAGCACTTGGTTTCCGGTTCTTTTACTTTTGCCAAGAAATTTATCAGTTTATCATCAGAATTTTACCAGTTATTGAACCTGTGTTTCAGTGTCTGCCTTAATTTCTCCGTATTTGTCTGTGTTCCTCAGACCGCAAGTTCCTGATTGCGAACGCCCAGATGAAGAACTGTGGGATCATCTACTGTAATGAAGGTTTCTGCCAGATGTTCGGCTTCTCCCGGGCCGAGATCATGCAGCAGCCGTGCACCTGCCAGTTCCTGGTCGGTCCGGGCACCATGAAGAGCGCTCTGTCCCAGCTGGCCCAGGCCCTGCTTGGCTCAGAGGAGCGCAAAGTGGAGATCCTGTACTACTCTAAAGAAGGTAGAGTGGATATAGAGTCACAGATATAAAATAGAAAGACAGCAACTACACTGAGCCTTCATTTTCTTCAGGGTTCAAAATGCTCTTCAAGCTTAAAATGGGCATTAGGAAATGCGTACAGTTTTAATTAATATTGAAATGGATTGATATGAAAAAATTATACTATTTTAAGATTTTTGGCCTTGTCGTTTAGTCCCAGTATGCAGGCTCTGGGGGGAGGGGTGTGCACAGGAGAGGGGAAGGGGAGAAGAGGAACAGAAAAGGGGAACAGAGACTACATTAACCCTTAGGGCTACTGCACACCAGTCAACAAGCACAGCACAGTAGATAAATGTAGCAGATAGAACAAAGCATGGATTTGTTGTTAATTTATGCTTATGCAGTTATTGTTTTGAAGTTGCATTGACTCCGTATGCCAGGTGTTGTAATCTTATCCACAAAGTGCTGGTGTGGCTGCAGATTTTTTTATTCCAATCAAGCACACCTGATTCTACTTGTTTAATCAGTTAGTCTCAGTCTTCAAACAATTGATCACGTGTGCTCCTGCTTTGTTGAAATAGAAACCTGCACCCACACCGGCTCTTTGTGGATAAGACTGGACACGCTTGCCATACATCCTGGACTGGCTTTTTTTTAGTTAAATTATAAAGTTAAATTATAAAAATACGTCCTTTTCCCCTGGGTAAGTGACGTAGTGTACCTTTAAGAAGGCATTTAAAGGCCCCGTATTTTAGAAAATCACATTTTCTTTACTTTTTGTAAATAAAAGATTGATGTAGAAAATTAATGTTAAAATTTCTAAATGTCCTGGTCACTCCCCAGTCCATGCAGTCTACATATGACATCTAAGCTGCAAAAACAGCCCATTTTTCATTCATCTGCCTGTTCAGCCTACAGCAGTTTAGCTCCCCTAAGACCTGAATATTTCGGAGCCCTGCTGGTGACATCCCGTATGAGTAAAAACAATGTGTGGCTGCGACTTAGTAAGGCATGGGAATGTGATAATTGAGTTGTAGCCACGGCTTAGTAAGGCGTGGGAACGTGATCATGCCTTACTAAGTAGTGGCCACGCATTAGGATCTTGTTCCCACACCTTACTGAGTCGTGGCCACACATTATTTTTGTGTATACACGATGTCACCTGCAGGGCTCTGTAGAATACGTGTTTTTAAATACTTTGTTTTTTTTGGGGTTTTTTTTACTGCGGGACTGCAGTATGAACTAATTCAGTAGAGTGGTCCGTTTATTTTATAAAGACTGTGCAGCAGGGCTCTTAAGCTTTGAATGTTTTCTCATATGTGGGTTTCCCAAACCTAAACACACGCTTCTGCTGCATAAGTATTTAATAAATCCCTGTCACGAGCAGATGGTTTAGCTCATTTGAGGGATGTACCGTCACGGCAGTAGTGGAACATTTGCGAGTGATAAATAGTGTTGTTTGTATTACTGCTTCTATCACTGCGTGCCCATTAAGGAGTCGAAAGTGAAAGTGTCACAGCATGAGGTGACACAGCACTAGGGCTGCGCCATGAATCATATTTTTAGTGTTACCGTGATAGTCTGGTGATTTTTTTCTGGTTTGGTTTTTTTTTTTCTGGTTTGGTAGTCTTTTAATCATTTGGTAGTTTTTGTGGTTAGATTAGTCCGTGGTGTAGTTTGGTAGTTTTTGATATGGCTTGATAGTTTTTAGTGGTTTGATAGTTCCTGGTATAGTTTGATAGTTCCTGGTGTAGTTTTTTATGGTTTGGTAGTTTTTTAATGGTTTGGTAGTGTTTGTTATGGTATGGTTTTGTAGTTTTTATGGTTTGGTAGTTTTGGAATGGCTTGGTAGTTTTTTGTGGTCTGATAGTTCCTGGTATGGTTTTGCAGTTTTTGGTGTAGTTTGGTAGTTCTTGATATGGTTTGGTAGTTTTTTTGTGGATTGATAGTTCCTGGTATGGTTCGGTAGTTTTTGGTGTAGTTTGGTAGTTCTTGATATGGTTTGGTGGTTTTTTGTGGTTTGATAGTTCCTTGATATGGTTTGGTAGTTTTTATAACTGATGCCATTAAAAGAAAACTCCTTATAAGAAGTCAGACTGCGAGACAAATGTAGTTACTTCGCTAATGCAAGTTTGTATATTCATCTTCTAAATAGGTGCTGGATCCAGTCTGGGAGGTACTGTATCTGGCTTGTTCCCGGCACAAATTAAGCCCTGATTACAACGTGCTTTTGCTGTTGCTGGTGATAAAAGCGGCTCTAAAGGGTTTACTGGGGACGTGGAAGGAGTAATGGAGGCTTTAAACATGCAGACGTTTGATAGTTTTACAAGAACAGTATCAGCCAAACAGAGAAGTGTGTTTATTTCTCCGCTCCTCCAGCTCTTCCTGTCGTCCTGCTCTGGACACGCACACAGAGAGCCGCTCCACACATCGGTATATCCGCCTTTGTGTCTGTTGGAAAGTGGACAGGTGTTCCTGGGTTGTGAAGCAGTGCATTGATAACATTACCATGACAACGGGACTCCAGAGACCACACCGCTCACACCATGAGCACTCAACTAAAACACGGTGCTCGGACAACACGCACGCGCTCTCGCCGGCTATATTTAGACCCTTGATGGCCGGCTGTAGTCCGGAGCAGAGGGGGTCCGGCTGGGAGCCTAATCACGCTGCTCTTTCTGTTTTTTTTCTTACTCCTCACTGTCACTCGTTTCTCGTTTCATCCCCTCTTCCTGCTCTCCTTTTTCTCTAACCTCTGCCAAGTTTGCTTTTCCACCGTTCTCATTAGCTCTCCCTCCATTCTGTCTCATTACTTCTCTCCTGTTTCCTCGCTTCCTCCATTCTTTCTCTGTTTCTCTTTCAATCTTTTTCTTTTTCTTTCTCACTCTCTTTCTCTGTTTTTCTCTTTCTTTCTTTCTTTCTTTCTTTCTTTCTGTTTTTCTCTCTTACTCTGTCTTTCATTTCTCTTTCTATCTGTCTCTCTCACCCTCTTTTCTTTCTTTCTTTTCTTTCTTTCTTTGTTTTTTTCTCTCTCTCACCCTTTTTCTTTATTTCTTTTTCCTCTCTGTCTCCCTCTCTTACCCTTTGTCTTTCTTGATTTTTTCCTCTCTGTCTCTCTCTCTTTTTTTCTTTCTTTTTTCTTTCTTTCTCTCCCGTTCTTGTGCTCTCTCTATTCCTTTCTTTTTCTGTCTCCCTTTCTCTCACGTCCCCTTCTACCACTATCTCTCTCTGTCTTCTCTTTCTTCCTCCCTCTCTTTCTGTCTCTTTCTATCTCTTTCTGCCTGTATCTCTCTCACTATCTGTCTCCATCTCTCCTGCTGAGTTAAAACAGGTTTCTCCTAAAAATGTGGCGTGTAATTGCCGTATTTCAGGGAAGGTAGGAAAGTGAAATGTGCCATAAAAAGATTTTTATGGTGCTTTCAGAGCATAAACAGCCCAGAAAAGTCCATCTGAGGCTTCACTGTAATGAGGCCTCTGGGTCTGCTTTACTCTCTTCAGCTGTGTGTGTGGAAGTGGAGGTTGTCATTTGCTCCTGTCATTGTTTGGATGTTTGTGTGTGATTGTTTATGTGCTGTAGGTGGGAGTTAAACCTCTCAGCCTGTTTAATCAGAGTGTGTATGTGTGTACAGGTCCCAGTGGAGTCCAGCTGCTGTTTTGCTATCTTTCACAAACAGTCACACTTATCATCAGTGATCATATAGCCTTGTAATGTTATTCTAACCTGTCTTTTTATATTCATTCTGCCTTCAGCTGTGCTTTTCTAATAAGGAACATGAACTCCAAGTCCTGTCATCGCTCCTATTTTTGAAGAAAATAATCTATAAAAGCTGAGCATTTTTTGTATGAGAAGACAAATAAAAGCAGATGAATAGACTCCAGACTTTAGCCAGTTCAGAAACTGCTGTGCAGAATCTAATACGCTAAAAAAACGGGTCATGATTAAAATGCGTCAAGTGGCCACACATAAAATATGTTACATCAGCGCATTTGCTTTATTTCAGTTTGCTTATTTTGGTAAGAATTGTGTTCATGTCAGACATTGTATTCATGTACTTGTCACACTTGAATCATGTACAGATATACAAAGCTTTGAACACCCCTGGTCAAATTACGTTTTGTCGGTTTTCTAAGTAAAAATAAGCTTACACGTCCTCTGCAGAGACTTACTTATGGAATGTTTCTGCCAATCTCAGTGGACAGTTTTTAATTATTTGGTGAGTTTAACATATTGGAAATTATAAAATATAAAATACAAAATGTGCCATAACTTTTGCATAGGTAGCATTTTATGTTTTTTTTTTCCACTATGTTAAATTCAGCAATAAACAGTAACTGTGTATTAAAATGTGCAGAAGTGTGTTCTCTGTATAGGATGTGTTCACTTATTTTCAACTAGAAAATCAACAAAATATGTAATTTGACTTGCATGCGACAGTAAATTCAGTGCACCATCTAATTCAGATGAATAGAGAAACTTTCATATTGTTACTTGCATGCAACATAATTTTAAAAAATCAAGCAACTCAAAAATAATCAAAGGTAAGAATTGGATTACTCCACTAGTCAGCAGCTTGTGTTTTTGATACACCAACTCATTTTTTTTAATATATGAAGTCTTCTGCATTGTGTATTTACATATTTTCAGCATTATAGCCTTCGTATGATATATAATTTTTTTCTGTATATATCTGTGTGTTATCTGTCTATCTCTCATTCTTTACTATTTATTTCACTTTAAAATCTCTTCTTCTTAGGTTGGCCATTATGGTTATATTGATGCCTCGATCATCATGTCCTATAAGCAGGGCAAGGTCATTGAGGAGCGCATCTCTGTTCACATTATATTCACATTTTATTCAAAGAAACATCATTCAATTTTCAATTTTGTATCTTTTACGAGGGGTCCTTTTATGAGATATCCAGGACCCCCTTCCCCCAGTCCCCCCAAACTCTTATTGGAATTCGTTATGTAACTAACTGTATCAATTAATTACATAATTATGTAATCACATTTAAGCAGTGTAGTAAGATGGCAGTAATAACTCAAGGCTGTGTTAGAGTAGCACTCCTAAAGCTCTGCAGTTTCTTATCAATGTGTTTTGTTTGTCTTTGTCCTTTTTGTTTGTGCACATTCTTTCTCACCTTATCTCACCTTATCTCACCTTATCTCTTGGTCTAATGTCTCTTTCACACTTTTTCTCTCCGTCTCAGGGACGTGTCGGCCGTGTTTGGTGGATGTCGTTCCAGTGAAGAATGAAGAGGGCGTGGTCATCATGTTCATCCTCAACTTCCAGGAGCTGCTGGAGCCTGGGGTGAAAAAGGGCTTCCGTCAGCGGGTCACACAAGGCTGGATACGCTCAGGTGTGTTTCAGTGTGTTTATGTGCGTTTGTTAGCTTGTTGTGAATTGGAACTTATACTTGTATGATGTAATGCAGTCACAATGTTTCAGTGCATCAGTTTGTTGCACGCTTTTTTAGTTGTTTAACAAGTGAACGGCACAAAGCTGTATTCAAATGTCTAGGAGGCCAGTGTAAATATTGAGCTGTGTCGGTTTGCATTTTACCCAAGGCCGTATTTGATAAAGGCGGTGACTTACAGTCTGTCTTTGTGCAAAAACAAAAAGAAGTGATGCCTTGAATTAACTTGAATCAAATGTGTAAACTGTTTCTTTAACACATATACTGCCTAAAGTACAGAGATAATTGTGTTGAGGTATTTTGTTCATGTTCAAATTTTAATCACGTACATTCAGTTTAGCACTTTCATTGATTTATTGTATTTTGAAATTTTGGTGATGAACATGTTGTTAAGGACTGTGACGATAGATCAAATTACTTTACATGTGCACGGCACCAGAGTGACCTCATTAGATTGTGCTCGAACTTCGCATGGAGAGCGAGAGGCTTAACCACTCTGCTATAGAGCCAATAACAAAGCAAATGCATATCTCAACATGTAATCTATCCTTAACTACTAGTCTTGATGTTTATTCTCACTCACAAAGTTGTGTGTATAACATGTAAGCAGTAATGACTACTGTCACAACAAATCTACATTACCATAAGAAGAAATTACATTTAAACTAAAACTAGACAAAACATACCAGTATGAAAGCGAGGGGGCTATAGTCATGGAGACCCTGGAGCACTGTTGCTCTCATTGGCTGCTTTTTTTCTGTTTAACATGTACAGTAAAAATTAAAAGAGGTGCTGCTTTTGCGCTGCTACTGTTCTAAATTCACACAACATATTTAGACTGATATGATAAAACATAATTACTTTAGTATGTTCTAAAGTTGTGGACTGCATGTTTTCTGACGTTTAATTCATCAAACTTGGTTGACTGTATCAGGGGTCGGCAACTTGCGGCTCTTTTACTGCCCTGTTGTGGCTCCACAGCAGAATCAGATTTGTAGGTAAAAATATTTAATGTAGCCTTTAACTGCTAATTCCCTGAAGGTTGGTGTACAGACTGCTGGACACCACAGCAACGCTGACAAAAATCTCACATAGGCAAATGGAGAGATTTAAGACAAACATCGATAATTTGAAGACGAATGGACTGTTTCGCGTTTATAATCACTCCTGCTGGTTTCCTGATACGTTTAATCTGCAACGAGAAACTGTCAAACACTAAAAAGTCACGAAACTAAAGTCAGCTTCTCGTTCGCCAGCTTCTTGTTAGAATTTTCCCGTTCCACCTTAAAATGGTGCAGCAGATACATTCTGGCACCTCAGGTACCGTTTAAGGTGGAACGGGAAAATTCGAACAAGAAGCTGGCGAATGAGAAGCGACTTCAGCCTCGTAAAAAGTCAATCACTGAGAGACATTTTACAAGAAACTGTTCTACTTTACGGAAAGGTTTTCTGCAGGAAATGCGAGTAGAATGTCTATAGCTGAGCTAAAGCTTATAGCAGAGCAAAGCGAATCTGCATTGTTTTTGGCCCACACTAGAACTTTGGCACATACTGAAACATATTTACGACCAAGATGGTAAAACGGACATAAAATGTTGTGGCTCCCAAGATAGATTGATTTTTGCTGAAAGGACAAAATAGCTCTTCTTAACATTTGGGTTGCCGACCTCTGGACTATAGCCATAGAGAGAATCAATGGGTGAATCATAATACTATTATTGTTTTTTTTTTAACTTACAGGAGAGGTTGGTTAGGTTTCTGTATACACAGCAAAAAAAAAGATACATGCAAACAGGCCCAACTCTATCTAGCAAGCTTGTGATATCAAATGCTTGAACATTCATGCATGGTTAACAGAACGGTTATGATACAACTGTGAAGAACTGTTTATCAGTCACAACGTGATCTAAACAACACATCACAGCAGTTACTGCATTTATAATATTCATTATTCAGTATTCAAGCCTACAAAGATAGCAGTAACCGAATATTAGTTCAACCATTACAGGATGAACTGGTTAACTGAAACACAGAACAGCATCATGGTTAGAATACTAAAACATGTATAATACATTCTGTGAAATGAACTGCAGAAAAATAATCAAAAGCAAAATCTCAAGACTGCACTGAGTACTGGCCACTTTCCTAACATGCTTTGCAAGTAACTGCTAATTACTGTAAAATCCAACTAACTATTAGCATGGCCTGTTTATCTAGTAACAGTGTGCTGTATTTAAGGAATACAGTAGATTACTGCAGATCTTCTACTGTAAATTTACAGCAGTTCTTTACAGTGCACCAATGCAAAGAAATCAGAGTCAGTTAGTCTCTGCAACAAACTACTTCATATAAAACCACTCTGAATTATTTTGTTTACCTCCTAATGACTGAAGCATGCAGGAGGTTTGAAAGCTCAGTGGAATTCCCCTTTAATTATGATTTATTGCGTCTCAATGTCCAGGAACTTTATTGAACATCACATTTCTTGTCCATATTTTCCCAACTTTTTATTCATGTATGTGTTTGAATGTCTGTATGTCTGTGTATTATGATTCATGTCTATGACATTGTGCCAGTTTCTGAATAAAAAAAAGCCTTTTTTTACTTTTGCAGTGACCTGACTATAGAATATGTATATATAGCAATGGGTACATTATACACTGATATCATACCAGACACAGACATGACGCACCTGTGGTCACAGGTTTCTGGAACCAGAATGTCCTGCGTGTCATTTATTTTGCATTTTAAGGAGAAATGTCCACCAGGGGAGCTAACAGCAAAAGTTTGGAAGAAAAGTTAATTGGGACGAGCTCATGGGAAATACACGAGCTGCAGCCTTGGTGGTTCAGTTGAAACACAAACACCGAAAACAGGTGTTGCATTGAATAATTGTTGTATTGTTTCCACATTAATAAAATGTATCTCAGTTGTGGCTAAAAGTGTATAAAGTGAAAGACTGATGCTATGTATTTACATATGATTAAAAAAAACTGTGCATTGGTTGTTGGTTGAGATGCCAGTCTGAGCTACAGCAGAGTGGTCATTGATCCCCAAGAATTTTGTCTCTAAATCAAAGGATACTTACATGAATAATTTTTGAATCAGCCCTAAGTGGAGATTGCTTTCCTGAACTGCAGTGAATTGTACCTGATTCTGCGCAGATGTGCTGTAATATCAGGTTAAAGAGGAATTCCACGGATTGTTCAAAATTTCTGCATAAATAAATAAGTAAGATGTAAACAAAGTCATTCAGAGTGGTTTGGTGTGAAATGCCCAGTTCTGGAGAAATTCACTGAGTCAGAATTTTTCACAGTGGTGGTGATGGGAACCAGATGTCTGAAGAGTTTAATGCCTCTGAAAGCTCCCTCAAATGCAGTTTCTCCACACAGAATGATGTATGAGACATTGTTCTCTGATATTTTTGAGAAAAACCTTTGTTAAAGGCTGCTTTAAATACGTTGTGACCCCTGGTTCCTATCACCACCACTGTAAAGAAATCGAGATTGGTATGTTTCTCTAGAACGACACAATTTACATCAAACCACTCTGAATGACTGAATGAATGTTTACATCTCAAAGACTGAATTATGCAGACATTTTGAAAAAATCCCCTTTAAGTGCATGTCAGACCAGTGTGAGTGTAGGCTTATACCAGATAACTGGTATTACATCAGTGTGATTCCTTTATGTATGTTTTTCAGCTCAGAAACGCAAGCTGAGGTTAAGAATGCCCTCTCTGCGGGTCCCTCGCCAGCCCTCCTTCTCCAAAGACCAGTTCGAGGGAGTGGTGGTGGACTACCTACAGGTGCTTACATATACGCACAAAAACACATTCACAACTGAACCAAACTAAATGCTCAACAGTTCTATCCTTTTTCTTCACACAAAATGCCTTTTATCACCTTAAACTACTGGCTTATTATTCAAATATTAAGGCTTTTAAAGTGATATTTTAAAAAAACATCTTATTAAAAATGATATGATGTGCGTTTTTGTATATGCAGGAATCTATTCAGTGTGTTGGTTTCATAGCTTTCAGAAAGGTATGAAAGAATTTTTAAACAGGATCATCAGGTCCACCACCCAGAAAATGTCAGGTGGTGCAACCACATATTTTAAAGTTACCTTTACTAAAACATGTATAAACTACTGTTTGTACACCTGTATAAACATTTATACATACCATTCCCAATTAAATGAGCATAATAAGAACAAATTAGAATAACTTTATATAATAATATCACATTTTCATGGTGGTCCTGGGGTCGCACTGCCAGCCTAATCACGACTCAAAAATGATACTGTTTTAAAATCAGTGAATGTGCTACTGGCCTAGGGATTGTACCATGAAGGGCACTCAATGTCTTTTTTATAGTGCAATGAATGAATGAATTTAATACTTTTAAAGCTGGTGTATTTTAAAACATGTTATGAAACCATAAAATTGTGCCAAACTCTTTTATATACACCGATCAGGCATAACATTATGACCACCTCCTTGTTTCTACGCTGGAGTTTTTAAACACTGTGTCCACTCCCTGTCCACTCTATTAGACACTCCTACCTTGTCAGTCCACCTTGTAGATGTAAAGTCAGAGATGACAGCTCATCTGCTGCTGCACACTTTGTGTTGGTCATCCTCTAGTCCTTCATCAGTGGTCACAGGACGCTGCCCACAGGACGCTGTTGGCTGGATATTTTTGGTTGGTGGACTATTCTCAGGTGTTTAAAAACTCCAGAAGCACTGCTGTGTCTGATCCACTCGTACCAGCACAACACACACTAACACACCACCACCATGTCCGTGTTACTGCAGTGCTGAGAATGATCCACCACCCAAATAATACCTGCTCTGTGAGGGTCCATGGGGGTCCTGACCACTGAAGAACAGGGTAAAAGGGGGCTAACAAAGTATGCAGAGAAACAGATGGACTACAGTCTGTAACTGTAGAACTACAAAGTGCACCTATATAGTAAGTGGAGCTGATAAAATGGACAATGAGCATAGAAACAAGGAGGTGGTCATAATGTTATGCCTGATCGGTGTACAACTGTATATGACTAAATCACCTGATTCAGTAATCTGTCTATATGGTTTACAGTCTCACCTCATGACCTTTTTAAACTTTGTTAGACATAAAGGCCTGAAATTAATTTTATATTGATGTACTGAAAATGTATTCGCATAAAGTAGGTATTGTAGAATAATATGCTGTGTATTTATAAAGCTGTAAGAAAATAATACACTTGGACAGGAAAAAATGCATTGACTCATCTACTATGTATTACTCCAAAGGTACTATGTATTATTCAGTGAAAGCGATTATAAGCGACAGGAGACGGGATCTTTATACTTGATAAGTTTATTGATGTGCATACAGCACGGAAACTATCTCGGTCATCAGTCTGTCATCAGTCTCTTGCACACAATTTGACAGAGAGTGCGAGGAGGTGAAGATGAATGATAGATGGAGAAGGTGAAGGTGACAGTGTTATCACCTCAGGAAGAACTTCCTCAGTATCAGTAAAGCTGACAACAAAGAGACATCATATGTTCGATGTGTCTAAATCAAATGGTCACTGCCAGATAAAGTGCATCCTTTGCTGCATCCTCAGCAGCAGCAGTCTTTGGAGGAGTCTTCCTCTGCATGTATTGCCAAATGATACAGTCTATCGAGGATTCATAACTGGAGCAGCATCACCAGTCCTGACCTCTGATCAGCTGTGAGGCTGAAGTTTGAGCGAGAAGTGAGGAAGGCAGCTTTAAAAAAACACCGCAAGCTGAAATTAAACAAATGAAACGAGGATTATCCCTCCCCACAGCTTGCATTAGTGTTGCGTCTGTGGAGAGATCAGCATGAAGCCTTACAATTTTTTCTGTTTTCTCTGCTCCCAACCACAAAATCATAATTGAAGTAGAACTGTCACTGCACAAATTAGTTAAACATTATGACTGCCCCATTCAGCTTTGACTCATAGCGTTAACCTGCTTTCCCCAGTTTTATTTTGATTAAGCGCTTCTTTTTGGGTTTAGCTGTAGGTTAGCTTTGCCTCACTCATTGTTTGGTGTCTTCACTACAATATTAACCCTTTACTTTACATACTTAAATCAATGTGACAGTGTGATGACTTCACAGAGCAGTGCTAAAATTGTAGCTGGCCATCCATATAACAACAGGACATTCATGATAAACTGGTATTAATTTCAGAACAGATGGGGGTAACACACATTTAAAAATAAATTCTCTTGTGGTCCCTCTGAACTGTCTTTGCTGTTTTGTAGTACCTTGTAACGCAGAGGTTCATGGGAACTCAAAGACAAGAAGAATACACTGGCGCATCTGCAGAATTTGTCTAAAAGAAGGACGCATTTCTCGGACAAGGATCAAGAATCCTATGCCTTTTTTTGAAATGGACAGTATATAGGACATATGCGACCAAGAAATTGGACCGTGGAAGATCACAGGCCTGTAAATGAGACACAGAGGTTTTATGATGTTTTCTGTCATAAAGTCTAAAGGGTAGATGAAATTACGTGTCATTAGACATACTGCCATGAATGTTATTCAACTGTACACACAGCTTTTCAGCAAATTCAGATGGCAGTAAAACATCTGTCCTTCTGCTTACGAACACAAACCTCTCTCTCTCTTTCTCTCTTTCTCAGCCCCCTGGTGAGGATGTGACTCTGAAGGACTTCCCTGTCCCATCTAAAGACAGTTATCTGCAGTCTGAGACTCAGGCTCTTATCCAGCAGGAACGTTCAGCACCGGGTTTCTCCCCAACCCCCTCCAGCCTCGACCCCGGTGGGCCACCGCTCCCCCGCAGCCGCTCCCAGGAGAGCGTCCGAAGCCTCCGCAGAGCCTCTTCACTGCACGACATCGATGGCATGAGAGACCAGTGGAACGGTGTGTGTGTGTGTGTTTGTGTTTTTGTGTGTTTGTGTATCTGTTAGAGCCCGACTGATATCAGTTACTCTTCACTAATACAGATACCAATTGCTAGGCACTAAAATTCCAATAACCGATAATAACGATAGTGTTGGCAGATCTAGTTTTGTGTGGTCAAAAGCTTGTGTGGGCAGATCGAATGCTTATCACAAATCTTATTTTGGTGTTATAAAGTGGCTGTGTAGATAATGATTAGGATTAAGAGCAGAAGGCCTTATGTGCATCTTGTTCTTGTGTAGAGGATCAGAGAGAATCAGAACAGTGTGCAGGCCCTCAGCCTCTGCTGACTGTAAGGACAGGCCTGTCTGCGGATGATGAAAGCCGTTCATTAAAGCTGATTAGTGCTTTCTCGCCAGGCCACAGGCCTGTTTGATCGTGTCTCTCATCTCTGGCTGAAGAGGAGCTGGGCTGGAATCTCATTACTCAAGAGAACCAGCACGTTCTCCTCCATGGTGTGAGGATATACTCTTACTTAAATGAGAGGGTTAATACAGAATTATCAGTCTGGACCTAATAGCATTGTTATATTCGAAGCATGTGTTTGACAAAGATAAGCAGAAAAACGGAACTTCCTTTCTGTGACACAAAGATGACACAGTTTAACGCTTAGAAGCTGGGATGATAAGTTGTTTTAAAAAGTCAGTAAATTAATAAAATAAAATACATTTTCATTGTACAAAACCACTGGAATTTACAGTTACATATTCAGTAGATATAGGACAAAATCCTCATGCACAAAAGGGGCAACAAAACCTAAAGGCCTTTTCACTCTGAGTTTTAGAGACAAGTCAGAAACGGAAAAAAGTTACATTTTGAAAAAGTACACAGATTCACTAAAGCCGTCATGGTTACTCATGAGTTGTTCACTCCTGTTAATGTTCAGAGCTCTGAACTGAAGCAGAACCTCAAACTCCGCCACACACACTGCACTGCTGGAGGGCTTCTGCTCCATCAGTTGTTTTGGGAGTTGGTGGGAGTTCTTGTGCTGTTCAACTTTTTTGTCAGAATGGGTTGTTAGCCAGTGTCAGCCAAATTTTAGGTATCGCCTCCACAGATTAAGTATCTATTAAAAAAGCAATTTAGTCAAGTAAAATTCTGAATTAAATACTTTGGCCTAAGTTTATGTTTGAAACCTTTAAAACCATAATCAATCATAATCATGTTGGGAAAAAAAAAGCTTTAAAAGTATTCAGTTAATAGAAAAACTTTAGATTTCCTCAAATGTCACATGGCGCAACCAAGAGCAAAGGTCTTTTATTCTGATATGCTTCTAAGAAAGAATGGGCAAGGTGCTGCCCTATCAAGAAGACCCCAAGCGACCTTAATGCAATGCCAAGGCAAGCTGCCATTTCACTAATATTCAAAAACGTGCATTTTTTAAGTCGTAGTTAGGCTGGTTCAGTTTACCAAGTCAGGTGGTGCGACCCCAGGTAAACCATAAAGATGTGTTATTACTATAATATTAATTTAGAAAAAAAGACATATCAACTTTTTAAACAGTTATACAAGTGTACAAACACAGAGACTATTTTATACACATTTCGGTGATAATGAATTTTAAAATGAAATAATGAATTTATACCATTATAAAAGCTATGAAACCAATATCAACACAGTAATAGATTCCTGCACATGCTTAGCATGTTGAAAGCTTTATTTGACATTGACCCATTTAGACTAAAAATATGACTGAATGTATAGCAGATCGACTTCTAATGTGCATTGTGAGGTGAGGAATGGGAAGAGGTCTGTGTGGGCCTCTGTAGACCCTGACAAGGGCTTGCTGGCTTCCCAGAGAGAGTTCATTACTTGGGCACGTGAGGCAGCCTGGCAGGCCTTTCTGGAGCTCTGCTGCCAATCAGTGCTTTTGTATGCCTGTGATTACCCCCAGCCATCACGAGTGACGTTACTGCAGCTGCTTGCATGTGTGCGCTGTGCGTATGCTTAAGCTCCTCTGTGTGTTTATATGTGTATGACTCATAGATACATATTTGCATATGATAATTCATTCATTATGTGCGTTGTAATGGCAGGCATTAGGCTGCATTACTGTTTCTGTAAAAACACTCTCAATACACTGCCATGCAAGTGAAAGCAAACAGGCTTTAATGTGATGCATTTTGTGCTATACGTCAGTGTCAGAGTGATGTGTGTCTGTCTGTGTAACTGTCTGTCTTGAGTATCTTTCTGGCTATGTAATAAGTAGACTACGTACAGTACTAGTTAGTAGCACCAGTTTGGACCCATCTGATGAAATGTTTTCATAATTTTAAAGATATAAATTTACACACAGTCATATACCAAAATTTGAGTGCCCTAGGTCCTGTTTTGTTGATTTTTTGAGTGAAAATAAGTTAACACATCCTCAATAGAGAGCAAACGTCTGCACACTTTAATGCACTATTAATGCTTGTATGCTGAATTGAATGTATTAAGAAGAATAAGTAAACATAAAATGCAGCTTGTGCAACAGTTATGGCACATTTTTTATGTTTTCGTGGCAAGGCGTGTGCTATTCCCTCATTATTTTACCTAGAAGTAAGCAGATATGTTTTTGCTGTGTCTCCGATGAGTTTGTTTTGATTTTTCAGCCTAATAATGACTTGCTACACTGGCAGTGAAGCACTTTTAACCTTAATTTGAGAGTAATCAGCAACAGATTTCAACTGCAAAAGACACACTTGGAATGATCTGTAGACATTTTATCTGCTTACTTGTACGTGAACGAAGGCTTGAGTAACCTGGTCATGGAACAGCTTAGCAGGCAATTGTCCTATTACATTTGAGCACCTGAAATGAGCAATATATAAAAATGTTTGTAATTATTAAACCTGATTTGAATGTAAATATCCTTAAATTGAAGTCTTCACTTTCAGCTCACATGAATTATTAATTCAGCTATTATCATTATCCAATATGTTGTGGTAGACGACTAAAATAACAAAAACGTTTTCGATATTCATGTATTTATAATACTAATTATATTTATGGACCTAACTGCATATGTAAAAGTATGTATACAGCTTGTTAAAGAAATGCGTGTTCTACATTTGAAAAGTAGATACAAGAGGTGACCTTTCTGATTTGATATTGACCCTCAGATCTGAAGCCCAATAATGTGAACTCCACCTCGGATTCAGATTTGATGCGGTATCGTGCCGTTGGACGGATCCCTCAGGTGACGTTGACGTTCGGCTCAGACCGGCTCAGGCCGCCCTCCCCCACCGAGATCGAGATCATCGCACCCAGCAAGATCAAAGACCGCACTCAGAACGTCTCCGAGAAGGTCACACAGGTCACCCAGGTATCAGTCTTGTCTGTGCATAGACACACTCGGGGTGTAAAGCTTCAGCTCTGTGCCTCTCAAATACGAGTACTTTGTCATGACAGATCCAAGGGTTTTGATTTATAATCTCCTTTCATGTAAACTGTTAACTGAATATTTGTACATTTCGCCATGATCATGATGAGCAAACAGTACAGTGGGGTCCAAAAATCTGAGACCACTTCAGAAATCTATAATTTTTTAAGTTAACCCAGTAAATAAACAACAGAGAGTTGTAGAATTTAGAAAAATTAAAATAAAGAAAAGTTTTTTTTGCACCATTCAATTTGAAGCAAGTTGGGTGAAGGCCTTTGCACAAAAAAGTCTGGTTTTTTTTTTTGAGTCTTATCCCTTCTATTGATGCTAATGTTCAGATGACTCTAAGGTTTTTTGATTGATAGATGTCAATCTAAGACAAACAGAGAAATGCTAATCATCTGTTACCTCAGTTAACTTTGGTAGCTGAGTCACTTCGTAACTTTCTTCACTTTGTGCCTTTTAGCTCAGAAACAGTAATGAGTTAATTAGCTGATACCAAACATAAAAAAATCCACTAAAAGGTGTTGGAAGTTTCATAGACTAGAATATACTGTAAAAAGTGCTTGAGCATGTCGTTTATCTGCGCTTTTCTGTTAAAGCAGCATTATGCTGTTTAGTGTATTTCACTTCTACACCACTGTCGTAAAGATGTCGTACAGATCATGCTGAGAGACCCCTCATGTAAATGTGCCTTTGTTGACGAGTTAAGGGGCACAGAATTCGACTCCCCTTTATGTGCACGTGCATCATGCAGGCTGCATTTGGGTGCTACAGATTATACTCGCGGGTTATGTTTCTGTGTGCATAATTGCCGGATTAATCTGTAGCCTGCACGCAAAGGGAAGTCAGATTCTGCCAGTGTGAGAAAGCCGAAACATTCTGGTGTGAGATGAATTTATTTCTTTCAATGCTAGCTTGAACTACAAAACTGCATGAGAGAGAGATGACACAAAAAAGGTTACAGTCGACATCACATTCTTTCATAAATAAGATTGGCAGGAATGCTCAGTGCTGTCAGATTTTCATTGTCTTCCCGTCTTGCATCCTCTATCCCGACTAAAAGCCAGCCCAAAATGTACTGTTGTCCAATCTTTTGCTCAGTCACTCTCGCATTTTCTTATCTTCACTTCTTCCGACAGCGTCTTCTTCGGTCGCTTTGCAGCCACTGCCATGATGTCCATGCTGGGAATACAGAGTTGCTTCTGATAGCTAGCTAAAGAACCATAGTTGTTAGTGTATGATGTGGTGCTGTAAAGTGTTATGTAGTTCTCGTGAGAGGTCTCGTACCCACTCCTCTAAAGTTACATTATAGCCGGTGTTCCAGACCCGGAGTGACAATGACAAAGAAGCCATTCCCCATATGATAAGTCAGTGACCATCAAAATGATTTTGAAGCTGTAATTTTAAATTAAAATTGTTACATGATGTTGCTTTAAGCTTCTTCTGCGCAGCACTTCTTCTCTGGTGAGTGTAAGCCTTTGGACGGCTGCAGTAGTCTTTACATTTCCTTCCTTCATTGAATTAAACAGAATAAGGGTGGGTTATACCAAAAAGTATTAAGCTTACACTCAGATTATATTACGGTCTGTTTATCAATCCAGTTGCACCAAACTTTAAACCTAGTTAAAAAACAATAGGTTTTAATCCTGGATTACTTTTACAGTAAATCTGGAATAATTTTAAACCTGTTGAACCGTCAACTGGTTCACTTAGTTCAACTCAGTTTTGTTGAACTGATACAGGGTGAACAGCTTGGCAAATAGCTAACAGGCTTACAGCCTGCTTTAATAAGGTTTGGTGCTTTGAAAGTTGCAGTTTTTATGGTAAAACTGCAACTTACAGACCAACATACAGAGCGTTTGTATTTAAAATATTGTCTTTCAAATTGTCAACAGGTTTTGTGTATAATCAAGGCAGTCTGCTCAGGTTTACTTAACGGCTCCTCATGACGCTGAGCCTTCAAGCCTAATGGACTGTTGAATAGACTGTTTAAACATCTGAATTGTCTCTTTGCCTGAGAGAGCTGTGTTTGATGTAGCCCTATGCTGGTTTTCACAAAAAGTGAAAAAAAGCATAGATAATAATTAGTGTCAAGAGTAACGCTGTTGCAGTTTATTTATACTTCTGAATCTATCATGGCTGGCAATCAAAGTCAATAGAAGGTTAAGGTTTTAATTGCACATTTGTTGATCCATGTTTAAAAGTACATGGAGCAAGTTGATTTAAAATAAACCGTATATTAACAAATCCTTGATTAGCTCAGATGTAATCCTCATTAGGGAACTGCAGGCTCTGCACTGCACTGTGGTAGAGTATAGAGTTCAAACATTTCGTGGTTCTTAAATATGAGAAGGTATAACATTACAAACAAGCTAATTTGTTTATCAGAAATCTTAATTCACAGTTCCAATGACTACTTAAAAACGTGAAAGTTTTGACTCGTCCCTACTCCAACACATACACATGCACACATCTGCACACTGTTCATGTTGGGCACAGGTAGGCCTGGCAGACCTGTAAGGACTTGAAAGCACTTACTGGTGTTTTTTGAAAGTGAAGGTGTTATTTGGCATGTTGTGCAGATCTCTGTTTTTGGCTTGAATCATATTTTCACACAACAGCTAAATTCAAAATTCAGTGTTTTCAGTTCAATAACAGTGTCGTCCATTTTCTTCAGATGCCCCAGTTAAAAACGCAGACCTGTAATATTATTGTAAATACTGCAGGATTTTTGCTGCTAGGGAAAGACCATTAACACTAACAGTTTATTAGACACATCATGTATTAGAGTCATGTTTAATGTTCTTGGTTCACGTTATGTTTGTAATGAGGGGCAGAGTTAATGGCATTGGTTTAACAAATGATTAGAGCAAATTTGTGCTGGGCTAAAAGGATGTCAGATTAATTTATGGAGCAAATGATTGGGTTAATTTCAGGTTAAAGAAGCATAATTAGGCGGTCAAGATGTCAACAGAGTTAATCAGAGTGGTTTGATGTGAAGTTCTCTGTTCGAGAGACACTTGCAGTCAGAATTGTTTACAGTGGTGATGGGAACCAGACATCTGAAGAGTTTACCTCTGAAAGCTCCCTCACAGAAAGCTATTATAGAAAGTGTTTTTTATACACTGCCTGATGCCTGAGATGTTGCTTTATCATAGTTTTGAGACAGGATTTTGGACTAAGATAAGATTTTTAAAATGTCTGAAGTGTCTAAAGAACTTGTTCTTTCAGGTTTACCACTATTTTACCATGATCGACATTACATGTCACTGCTGTTGGAACAAAACCTTGTATCTCCATTTTTGTTGTTTTTCTGTTTTTGACATAATTTAAAAGTACCCACTGTGCTATACATTGTTTGTCAATTTCATGATGAATGGACCAAAAGAAACGACCCAAAATTACTTGGAAAAACGTCTGGTTGCTTTGACTTGCATTAAAAATAGAGTATAAAAAATAGAGATTTTTCCTTCTCCTGTAAAGTTACCATTTTGGAAATACAAGGTTTTGTTCCAACAGCAGCGATATAAAAACTGTGGATCTGTGTAGGTTCACTGGTGGTTTCGGATAGTAAATTAAATGGCTATATTTGTGTTGTAGACTTTGCGACCCCTGGTTCCTATCAGCACCACTGTGAAGAAATCTAGGTCAGCAAATTTCTCTCCAGCGAACCATTTCACATCAAACCGATCTGAATGACTCTGTTTATAATGACTGAAATTGTGAAACATTCACAGAGTTCCCCTTTAAAGAATGTTTCACAGAATGTTTGGATTGAAAAAATATGGATATGCAAATGGTTAAAGGGCTCATATCCTACGTTTTTCTTGTGTTTTATTTTTTCACTGGTGTCAGCATAAACATTTGTGTGGGTTTATTCATCAAAAACACACACACACATATTTTCTGAAACCGCTTATCCTTGTGAGTTGCGGGGGGAGCTGGAGCCTATCCCAGCTGTCAATGGGCGGAAGGCAGGATACACCCTGGACAGGTTGCCAGTCCATCGCAGGTCATCAAAAACAGTCATGATTAATTTTTACCTGACTTTACTCTGTTTATCCCTAGGTGTTTTTTGTTACTGTCTCTTCTGATTGGTTGCACTGTATTGTGCTGAATTCAGAAAGCAATCTGGACTGAAACACTACTTGTAACTTTATCCTGAATGGGTGAATCTAAACTGCTGTTAGATTAGTAGGTGGATGTATGTAAATGCACCATTTTTTGTGACATCGCAGAAACTGAATTTAAAACAGGCTGCTTTTGGGAGCTTAGTTTTCATGTATGGACTGTATGGATTGGTGTGTGAATGGCATGTTTTGAAACATTAGAAATGTTTATGTTATATCAAACACTCTTAGTAATTAAATAGAGTTTAGAGTTAATAGGTTGAAGTGAATGATTGGATAAATGAATGAATCACTGAGCAGATGAGTAATTACCGAAATGATTATTAGGGCAAAGGGTGGACGGCGTGAATGGACGATGGTGTAAATAGGCGATAAATGGGGGAAATAGAAATGAATCGAGGATGGTGGCAGGTTCTGATGATGTCATGTGTAATCGAGTGAGTTCTGACCCCATGGAAACTCGGAATGATGGAAAGGTCGAACCTCGATGACATCATCCACTTCAGGAACATAAGCGTCATCCCTCAAAAGCGGCCAGTGACCTATAAACAGTCGCTGTGCAGAGCTGCAGTGGGTATTGAACGCGGTATGTGTGCGCGTTTGTGTCTTTGTTTATACTCACATAGTGCACTCTGACCCATCCTGCAGAGACGGCAGTATCTATGCATATTTGGCTGCTAAGTGAATGTATGGATTGATATTTTACAACTGCAGAATTGAATTTTGCTCTAGTCAATGGGAGATGTCCATTACAGTGTTATGAATGTGACACATCTGTGCTTTTCACACTGCAGTATTAGTTCATGATTT